GGGCCCCCAGCGCCTCTGTCCCCTCCACGGTGCCCCTCTGCCAAGCCAAGCTCTCCTCATGCAGGCTGGCCCCCTCCCTGTCCCGGTGCCCAGGGCTTCGGCTCCCACTTCCGGCCTCTCCCTTTGCGGCTTGGGCCCCAGACTCTCCAGGAAGTTTTCGTCTTCCCGCTTGTGACCCGCGGGCCGTGTGTCACAGGCTACGTTCATGTTGAGTGTCACATGAAACTGTATCCTGTGTATCCACATCTACACCTGTCTCTACCTATCTGATCCACCTCGGCCAAGTGCCGGAGGCGCGAGGGGACAGGCAGGGCTTGGAAGCTCAGAGGAGCAACACCCCTGCGGGCTGGGTTTAGGGTATTCTTCTGGGAATGGGGGTGAGGATTTGGGAAGGTAGAAAAGGGCACAAGACGGCAAGATTTTCCTCTTTAGGAGACAGCCCCCGGGGCGGCCAGCGGGTTGCAGGACTGGCCAGTCTTCCGGAGAAGTGCCGTCTGAGCGGGGTGTCGCCGCAGCAGATAACAGCACCCCCGGGAGGGCCCGTGCCGAGGGCCAAGGGAGTGGGGCAGGCAGCCGGGGCCGAAGGAGTCTCAGGGGGTAGAGGCAGAGAAGCTGCGTCGCCGTGGGCGGCCTCCCCGGGGTGGGCTCTCGCCCGCCTGGCCTGGCTTTGGCACGCATCCAATCTCTACACCTGGGCCACCAGGGGTGTTCCAGTGCGGCCCCGCTTCGGTGACCGCCGTGCGAGAGGGTGACGTGAACCTGGACTTCGACATGCCCTTCGTCTTCGCGGAGGTGAACGCCGACCGCATCACCTGGATCCACGACGCCCGCAACAACACCCAGAAGCAGAATTCCACAGACGCCCGCAGCATCGGCAGGTACATCAGCACCAAGGCCGTGGGCAGCAACTCTCGCATGGACATCACAGAGAAGTACAAGTATCCAGAAGGTAGGAAGGGGGCACAGCCCCTGGGGGCTGCGCCGCCCAGGGCTGGGCGGTGGGAAGACGGCTTTGAGGGCGGAGGAGGGAGAGAATTCCTCCTCCTCCTCCTCCTGTGCTCTCAGCCCGTTCGGCCTGAATGGGAGGACTGCTCCCTGGCGCCTAACGCCCAGTTCCTCCGACTGTTTCCAGTGGGGACGGAACCATCACAGGCAGACGCGGCGCCCGGGGAATGTTGCCGCGGGGCCTGGCAGCTGGCAGTGCGGCTCCTCTCCGGCCACGTCCCTTTCCCACAACTGGGGTGACAGCCCTGCGATGGGACATCACGGGGAGAAACACGACTCCCGTGGGAGGCTGCCCTGGGGGCTTTAGGAGAAATTGCTAGCCTCCAAGAAACACAGGCAGGAAACACTATCCGGACTCCGAAATGGGCAAAGCCCCCGAAGATGTGGGTCCCTGCCTCGGTGCTCCCCTAAAGGGACCCAGAGCACGCCCTGGAGTGAAGCCCAAAACCCTCACAAATGCTGGCTGTTGGTGTCGGCTGCAGCTGACAAAAGAGGAAAGCTGAGCACGGGAGACGGGGTCTGACTCCAAGTCTGGTGGCGGAGGGCAGGGAACCTGCCCGGGTAGTGGTATTTATGGGCATTTGGAAGCATAGGCCTAGGGTAATGAGATCGATAGCCTCAGTTTGGTCCCCAAGCTGCCTCTGCAGGCCATCCCCAGGGCTGGGGCCAGACAGCCCTTCTCTCAGTCAATAAACATGGACTGAGACCCAGCTGGTGGCCGCTGCGTGATCGGCTCCGGGGAGGCAATGAGCGACACAGCGGACCGGGGGCCCTGCCCTCTCTGAGCTCACAGGCCAGGGGGAAGGGAGATGCCGAAGAATTTTCAACACTGTCATGACGTAGAAACAAGGGTAGGGGCCGGGGGGCAGGAGGTCGGTTCCCGTCATACATCTATAACCAGGAGACCTCACGCAGGAGTCTTAGGGTCTCTGATCCCCGGCTCCCTCCCCGGTAACATGAGAACAGCAATGCCTGTCTTCAGTAGGATTTAAATGAGCTTGTGCAGGGGCGCCTGGGTGGCTCCGTCGGTTGAGCGTCCCACTTCGGCTCAGGTCACGATCTCGCGGTTTGTGAGTCCGAGCCCCGCGTCGGGCTCTGGGCTGACGGCTCGGAGCCTGGAGCCTGCTTCGGATTCTGTGTCTCCTCCTCTCTCTGCCCCTCCCCTGCTCATGCTCTCTCTGTCTCCCAATAATAAATAAACGTTAAAAAATAAATAAATGAGTAAATGAGCTTGTGCACAGGAAGGGCCAAGAGCAGTGCCTGGCACAGTGAGGATGTATTAAATAGTGGTGATTTTTATCAACTTGGACTTCTGTCATTTTGCTGAAATGATGACCTCCCAAGGTGCCTTTTGAAGGGTACTGCTCCCTTGGACATATGTCCTGTGGATTTCCTTACCTTGCTGTCACACCTTGATTCTGCTTACTGAGGGGCTCTCCCTGTCCCAGCCAAACCTCCTCACCAATGGAGAAGAGCTGGGCCGTGGCCAGGTTGGGGTGAGTCCATGCAGGACAGTGCCCCAGCCTCTGCGTGACAGCAGAGCTGATGACTGTTGTCCCCGGTTCTCCTTACCTAATGATGCCGGCCGGCCCGTCTCCGAGGGCCCCCGGGGAGGAAAAGCTCATAAAATGGGTTGCTAAGCATTTGCGCAACGTCAACACCAAGGGAGAAGACAGTAGCAGGAAGCTGAGTCTTGAGTAAGCTCAGCAGGTGACCTATATAGGTATCTGGGCTCTGCGCCTCGTTGTGCAAACACGCCTGCTTTGAGGTCCTGGGGACAGAAGGCTCAGCTCCCTGCACAGACACCAGCCCTGGGTGTGGACTTACAACTCTGCAGGAAGATGGGAAGGCACCAGAAAGAACCCAGCCCACCAGGAGCTTTCAGCTTGGGTAATCTGGCTGCCTGTCTCCTTTTCAGTAGGATGTTCGGGGGGAACCTTGGACTACGGGTATAGACACGTGGGGACTGGCCTTCTTCTCTGCTTCTAACCCCATGATTAGACCAGTTGCTTGGATCGGTCGCGTCTTCTCTTAAGGCCTTCCTTTTAACACGGTGGCCTTGGATGGGTTGGCCTCTGAGGTCTCAGCCAGTTGTTACGTGTAACTTACGGGAAAGGCCTCGCTAAGTTGTAAAGTGCTTACGATAAGTCATCTGGTGTCTTAAAAATGTCACAAGTTGGTTGGGGAAGACGGGGGCCATTACGTATGGTCTGCAGATACAAACATGGGAATCCTTCCTTGTGTATGTCTGTCCACATTCCTGGAGGGTCAGTGCACCTTCTCCTTGATCTTGGGTCTATCTTCAGGTCAAGGCAGGGAGCCTTATGTGAACTGTGTGGCCACCATTGGCCCAGAGGCGTGGAGGTGGCTACTCACCTTAATGCCCAAGAGCCACGACCTTGAGGGTCACCATGGCCATTCTCCAGGGGACATCTCTACCGTCCCATTTAACCGTGTTCACAATCTGAGTCGGAGTCAGAAAATCCATCCTTGGGTTTTTAAAACCTGGACTCTCTCGACAATTTAAACTAGTCATAACACGGAACCAAACCAACCACGGGAAGTTCTTTTTTGACATGGACAGAAGTGCCATTCTTTGACCCCAAAGTACCTCCAGAAACAAAGCAGAATAACACGGTGAAGTGGTTTGGAAAAAAAAAAAA